TTTGTTACCGTACGATTATTTTCTAGCGTGTCATTTTGTAGAATAACGATGTTACACACTGTACATTACTGTGTTCTGCAGTATTAGCACAGTAAACAGACAATATTTTATAAATGTGAACATATTACCTATACATATTTAACGATTACGTATTATTATTATTATTAAAAAATCAGTGAAACATCGGCAACACTGAATATCTCATTTTTATCAACTTTACAGGAGAGCAAAATAAACTGTTTCAATTTATATTTTGCAAATTATTACCATGCTATCGTAAATCTGAGCCCACTAGTCGATTCCCCGTTAAATTTTGAATAAAACAGTTTTTGCTAATTGAGTTCTGACAAAATATAAGATATTCGGTGATGCCGTTTAAGCGACATTCTTATTTTGAACTACTGCATTGAAAGTTTTAAATTGCTAACATAAATTCGATTTAATGTGAATATAATTTGTCGCCACTTCTTAGTGGTGTTAATTACTTTATATTTGAAATACAGAATATTATATCTAAAAATTAGTCAATTAGAAAATATTTTAAACGAAATGTTTTAAAATTTACAGTGCAATTATTGTGTAATTTTCTTATTGTCGACAAAATTCTGTCCTTATGTATGGTCGGATAAGCTTTTAATTTTTTTTTTTTATAAATGTGGTCTATCTAGTTTCGAAACAAAATCGGACTTAACTAGTTATTGTCCTAAAAGTTGTAATGTTTTTAGGTTTTAAGTAAAATCTGAAAAAAGAAATGTTATTTTTTTGGGGGTTATTTTGAACGTGAGGAAGGAAAAGATAGAAAAATTAATTAATTCGCACCTGCACATTTTTTAATACAATTCAGCCTCTTGCTAAACTAACTTTATTAATAAAACTTCAACTAGTTTAAAATTATATATATATATATATCAATTGGTGAGAACCTGTCAAAATATGACGTCTCAGTTGAAACATAAAACTGAGTTTCATTCAATGTTATATTATCCTTGATTTTAAGCCTTAAGGTGATGAACGTGAAAACCTTTAAGCTATATTTGCTCAATAATATTATAGCTCGATATCTCTCTTTTATAATGCCATTACACACAAAGATACTTAAGTATTATTATCTGTTGGATAACTTTGTATACTGTTAACTCCTAAAAAATACAAAACAAGTTTTAAATTTTGAAAAACGTAGCAAATTTCTCTTAAAATTATTAATTTGTTTAAAACCAAAATTATATTAAAAATATTATTGCGATATTTCTGAAATATTCATTTTATACTTTCCTATTTAATATGTATTTTAATATATTGATCATTCCATTAATATAATTATTACCTATTATTGTTTATTTATTTAACGGGTATGATGTCTAATAGTATAGACTACAGTTGTACAAATAAAACGTATTAATAAAGATATAATTTATAATAATCAAAATGAGGTGCTCGTTATAAATAACAGTTAAACAGTTTTGTTAAAGAAAAATGAAGTGATAACCATTTAAACTACACGGGAAGTGACGGTAATGGAGTTAGTCCTCTTAAGCCTTTTTTCACTGTATGGAAATATAACATCTCCGATTTCATGGCTAAAAAATAATTTGTATTAACTGCTGTACTTAAAAGAATATTAAGGGTGTATAGTTGGGACACAGGTCGTTATTTGACGGGGTGTGTGCTAACGTTAACTCTTATTAATGGCGATGGCGCTAATTTTTTTTTTTATTATTTTCTTTTTTTTACGTCAAAGTTTAGTAGGTTGATCTAGATTGGGTCATGAGCTGTTTCATTAAAAAAAAAAACATAAGCAAATGTCGTTTCTTGAGAAATCTTTTAATAGACGTGTGGTGTTCTCTATATACAACTAGACCGATGACTAACATTTACTATGTATCACTATGGGTTGTCGTAGGGTTATAAATCCGTCTACATGTGTTATTGATGAGTTTTGACTACTAAATTAGTTTTGTGGTAATTTGTATTTTCTAAATTAATGATGTCTGATATGAAAATAGTTAGTCGGCAATAGGCTGTCGGTAAGAAAAAGAAATTCAAATCTAAATTTTCTATCAACAATCTCAAAATTGACAAGCTTACATTATTACATTATATTTACTTAATATGTAATTTTATATAACAACGTACAAATGTAACTCTATAATCAGACTCTGTAACTCTGTATTTTTAATTTTATATTTGTATAACAAATATATTTTACAGGGTGATCATATTATCGTGTACCACTTAATATCTCATAGAGTTTAATAAAAATATTATTTTTTCATAGTGTTTTTATACAATGTAAACACAATTTTTTATATTTGTTTTTTGTTTTTACCCCCCTTTAAAACTAATTATTTTTATAACATCCAAAATTGTTAGTTCAATATTATCAATTTAAAAGGTTAATGAAATGTATGCGGGTCCGTTTAAGTTTCATAAGTTGATGTATATTAAAATAATTAATTTGGGAAGGGGTAGTAGGAAGTAGGAACATAACCATTTGTGAAAATTTAGATCACATTATAAACACTATGGAAAATAAAATTCATTATTAATTAAATCCAATAAGATAATGAGTGGTTCACAATAAAATAATCACCTGACACCTTGTATACCAGACAGTCCTAAGAAAAAGTGATTGCTTTATTAAATTAAATTAAATTAAATTCTAGATCTAAGACCCAAGGTAAATAATTCATATACTTGTAGTTTGGTATAAATATGGTAGCTTTGCCGATTTGAAATTGAGGTCTCAGAACTTAATACTTGTTACATGTTAAATGGGTGCATTTTTAGGTAGAAGGAATAAAAATGGCAAGTATAATATCTGTTTTTTAAACATTTAAAACACAATCATTAAGTTTTTAGTGTCTTGGACGTCTAATTTTTATTTTTTGCAGTTTTAACTATGGAGAATTTAAAAACAATGGATTACCTTTTTTTCTAAAAATAAATATTAAGATGTGTATGTCTTAACGCTAACGTCTTTCATTATTATTTTAAACTAAATACTTGACCTTAACCTTTAAAGTTGTGCCAACATTTTTCTCTGTGAGTAAGCTTGATTTAATGTTTGCTTTTATGCTGCCAAATATTTGTTATCTAATCTAAGTAGCCGAGCATCTGTAACTTTAAGTAATTTACTTAAGTTTGTATGAACCTAGTAATAAAAATAGTCATACAATGATGTTGAAATTAAAACTATATACAAACCTGAATAGATTTAAATGGACAGAACAAATTAAATCATACTAATAGTAGTACGTAATAATAAACTTTATAACAACTCGATAAAAAAAATATTCTTATTGCGTCTTTTTAGTACCGACATAATGTTGTGAATTTTAAAAAGTCAAGTATGTAATTTCAACAATATCTGTTAACAGTTAAATTAACTAAAATGCCTTAATGGAAAGTGAAAAATATTTATGCTCATTTGTCAAAAGTTGCTTAATTTTAGATCTAAGACCCAGGGTAAATAATGTATATATTTAATATAATATGACAATTTGACACATTTACATACATTTTATATGTAAAGTTGCTAGATCATCGTTATACACCTCATATACAATAATTGGCCACGGAACTAAGATAGTATGTATAAAAAAAATGGGTTCTAAAATAATTAATAGTTTATTGATAAGTAACCATTAGTGTACACATAGTAGTTAAGTTTTTACGATATTGGTTAAACCACTGATTTCAAAATATACAGTTGAGGTACAGGATGCTCATTGTGAATCCGCACGGATCCTGTGAACCGATATGTGTTCCGTATAAGATAATATTAATTTTTTAGTGCAATAAAATCTTCATTCCCACACACCAAAAATATTATACAAAATTTTGAAAATATTTATTTTAATGAGAATAAATTGATTATTTATTGAAAGTGTTACGTGAAAATGTTATTATATTAATTATATAATTTAATTCTACTTGAGTTCATACATTTCCCAGTTAAATTATTTATTTTGTTATGATGCAAAATCACAACGGGTTTTACAGATATAGGTTATATTTATTATCTCCATAATTCGGGACCTACCAAAATAAAAATGTGTAGTTATGTGAACGCATTAGGATAAATGTAAGTTAACTTTTTAAATAGCTCGTAATTAAAAATAAACAATTAAACCACGGTGTGTATATTTAATAATGTACAATTTACACTTCTATACGATTTTGGAGCAAAACCTTCTTTTATATAACAAAAAAGTATATGACGTAGAGTTGACAAAAAACTTCGTAAAAACTAAAAACCGTAAATTACCCTAACTGATCACCCAATACCTTTGTTCAGATCCGCTAGGAAGTAAAAGATAATATTATGCGATACGAAAGTGCTATTCTAATACGCTTAAGTAGAGAAAGCTCGGTCGGTCTTAGGCGCCACTCGAGATTTGTTTTTAAAATTGTGCGTTAACGCTTATTCAGCTGTACAAAAATGGCATAGCATACAATATGTAAGATATATTATTATTATGTATATTGCTCTCAAGTGTTTATCTATTTCCTCGATTGCTATTTATAATATTTACCCGAAAAAAAAACGTAACGCGGTACGCGCGGCGCGTACACACCATTTGTGGTAAAATATTGTGTATATATATATATTTTTTTCATAGTCGTTATTATAATTAGGCCAACAGAAGTTTGAGGATACCGCAAAGGCGTTTAACGCTATTAAGAAGTGCGTTTAGTATATTAAGATTCGTATCACCTTCGAACGCGTGCAGTTGTCGCGCTACCATATGGTTTAATATAAAACACACACACTAGTGTCATGTAAATGTAATATGTGTAAATAATAATAACAATATTATATGCGTGTATGTATATATATATATATATATATATTAATAGTTATTACTATTACTATTATTTTTATTATTATATTATCATTCGTATGCCGTCGCGGCGACGAATGAAGACGCCGGGCCAGAGCAACTGATACACCGGGCACCGCCGCACGCGTATGGTATAAAACGACCAGCCGACCTCAGTTACCGTTCACAACCGTTTTGCCGCCACGACGTCCGGTGTGTTTAACGTGTGCGCGACCGTAGTCGAAATCGAATAAGTTCAAGTCGAAAAAAAAAATTCATCTTAACATATCGTTTCGCCATCGGCGTTTGGTGTAATACGCTTTAGTTAAAAAAAATTGGGTTTTATTTAATGTATTATTTATTCAGCAGTGTATAACGATAAAAGTCAAATAGTATCTAGTTCTATTGTTTTTTTTCCGCGAGACATAAATTGCCGGTGTTTTTGCCGGCCGTTGTCCGATGATCGACCGCCCGACCAATTACCGTCGATCGCGCTCACTTAAAAGAGTTTAAATATTAATTTTGGGTTTTTTCACAACCGGAAACCGCCGCTGGCATGCCATCTCAGCCGTTGATTCGTCCGAGAGGATTGTTCGTGCACAAAAAAGTAAGTGTCACCTTGTAACGGGTTATATAGTAGGTACCTGTATTTTGTTTTCAAAATGTTGTCCTGTGACCCTCCTAACAGCTGAATAATAGTTTTCATATTATTAATATTGTATTATCGGCTCATCGTATTTCTTTTGCAGTTTTTTAAGTGCTAGAGTGCAATGAGAAAAAAAAATCGAACGGCACGCGTCAACCACTAATAGTATTTACGTTGTTTAATGTTTCAATAATTTGTTTGTTTTTTATTTTTATTAGTGTAATGTCAATAATCAGAAAAATTAGCTACTGGCGATAACGTACGCGTCTTCGTGTAGTTTTTAATCGATTTCGTTTTTTAACAATAATAATGTGTGTGCAAATTGCTCTTCCGGTTAGTTCGTTAACCTTAATCGAAATATTACGGCATACATTAACGGCACCTGTTTTGTAATTCGATTAAATAGAATATATCTGTATAATTTATACTAAAATGATCATTGATGCAAACAATGTTTTAGGCTATTTTTAAAATTCTTAAGTACTATGTTTCTTAAAAATCTCAGTTTTTACTCATAATACACGTGGAATAATCTTTTAAATTAATTTTACAGTTGCAATTTTTATAAGCTAGACGGGCATGAAAGAATTTAATAAATATTTTTATTTTTTACCGTTAATTTTTTGACTCTGGTGTTAAAACCCAGTTGGGGTCTTATTATATTTTTTTGCTCGAGCATTCGCATTGATTTAAACATTTTTCATTGGCCATTTTCAATGATGCATTTTGTAAATGTTTCTATCTTTTTTAACACAAAGGCGTACGAATTTCATAGATATTCATATTTTTTTCCAAGAAAAATAATTGATCTGATAGTGCTTTTTTAACACCATTTGTATACAAACTCGAGCTCGTCGAACGTTTTGTATGACGTTGGCCTTACTCGTAATATTTTCATGCTAATACATTATGCGAAATTATACTATAATAACACATAGGACAACCGCAGGCACGTCCCGTCTTATTGTCATTAAGAAATGTCTTATAAGTACCGGTTTTCGGTTAAAAATACTTTTACGATGCGTTTTGTAAGGTGATAGTTGCTTAAGCTACAACAAATAACTGTTTATGTTGGATTGCAACTGCAATTCATTGTTTGTCTTAATATCAGGGGTCATTTGAGGAATTTAAACTGTTCTTAGACTTCCTTATATTATAATAATTTTAGTTTGTGTCATTCACATACGTAAAATATATCATTCAAATTTCAATAGTTTTGCCCTTTGATTCATAGTGGTACTATATATTGAAACCACTTTTTTAATAGTTTTGCTACGATTGTTAATAAATGTGGTATCTTATTGAAACCATCATCAAAATAATTAAAAAAATTAAAAATAGATTATAATTGAGTCATAGGGTTAAGCGATTAAAAAAAAATTGTTCAATAAACATAACAAAACGCGATTCAGTGGGAAGACAAACTTGTAACTTTAAATGTTTTTCTTTTTATTAAAAAACTCAATTAATGTTCTCGATATAAACACATTTTATACGATTTTCATCACGCAATTAGTTAATTCTCTCCAATTGTGTTTCCATAATATGTGTGTTATATCGTTACTGGGCAGTGTTGCTAAGACCAAGGCAAATAAAATCTCGAGCATTTAGGTGACTGCCGACTCGTTATAGTCTGCGCGGTGTGCATTTTTTTTAACGGAGATGGTAATTATGTATATTACAGTATACACTCCTCTTCTCGGCGCAATACCTGCTGTTATATTAAAATTCCTAATGACCGGAATCCTTGACATTCCGATGTCCGACCGTTGTATTTGGGCAGGCTGCCTGCAATGTGCACTACCATGGTGTATACAACGCTCCCGCCACCGACCGAAGAAAGTTTATTGTAATCATCATTATAGCTATTTACTATAATTAACTCTGTAGTTGACGTTTGAACAATTTTTTTTGCACGACAATGTACTTCACGCGCGTAAGTGGATGTTCTTGTTGTTTTATAAAAATATACATTCAAAATGCATACCTGGCATACACCTTCGTTCTATTTCCTGCCAGATCTGTGCGCACAAATGAACAGTGACGAACATCGCTATCATTTTGTGACGTATATTCTTGCTTACATAGGAAAACGTGAACGAAGTGTCATCATTATGACGTGCGCGTTGAGGAAATTCTGTGGCCGGACCGGAACTTGTGGGCGAATACAAAATAATGCCGATTTTGTCTTCGCCACCACGTTCGCTAATGCAATTCCGCACACATTATTCACCAAGCACAGCTACTAAGATTCCAAATACTCGTTACATTTCGTATATCGTATGCCTTTTTATATTATGTGGTTACATTTTGTATATTATTAGTTATTACACGGCCGTAGGATTACATAGACAATGTTTTGTAAACGAGAATTGGCGATAGTTTCTTTAATCCGGACCGAATCGTCTTGGTTTGCAACGCGTGCGGCATAATTTAGGTATCTGCTGTGATACAAGTCTACCCTGAACCACGTGGGCACCTTGAAAATCGAAAGTCCATTCAATTTGGTCAGACCAACAATAACTGATGCAAACAGCAAAATGACGATGTTTTACAGTAAAGACAGTTGGTCGCCATCAGATAGTTGATCTCCATCACTCGTTAGTTTATGATGACATAGTACATTTTCGAAAATTGTTAAAAACATTATTAGTATAAATTACATATTCGATGATTAATTTCTAAAAAAATTATATTTTCCTTTTTGCAGAGCAATTTTACTTATTTTGATCACATGCCCATTTTGGTAAGTAAACGTAATTGTCGATGGGTTAATAATACTAAACAATAAACCTTGTCTATTCGTCAAATGAATTCTTTTTGGATTTTATTTACTTCTCAGCGATTAGTTGAAATCGTATCTTATTCGATTTTTAATAGTTAATTATTTCTCAAACTAATACTTGGTCGGTAACCATAATTAAAAACAAAGTTTTAAATAGGCTTTTAATCGGGTGTTTAGTTATTTACTTTTAACAAAACCTTACATTTCTTATCTTTCTATATATTATATTCGATTCAACTAAAATAAATAAAAAACATCCACACAAACATGAGCAATAAATAACCTTTAACGTTTTTCTTTTCAATATAGGATTTACTTTTAACTTAATTAATATTTTAAAATTGGTTTTCATTTATTGTAATAATACAAATATTTAATCATGACTTATCATAATTTTGTTATATATATATATATATATGTTAAAACCCCATGATATAAACTATAGAATTCTAGTTGAACAAAATACTAGAGATAGTAACATTTAAATATTCATGTTTACACATGATACATTTTTTAAACGTTAAACGTTATTAGCTTACAATAGCTTTTTTCAACTACAATTCATTTTTTTTTCTTTAAAAATGGTTTGCTTCTCTTAATATAGGTGCACATTTTTTTAATAATTAATTGAAATTTCTTTTAAAAATATTTAGGGCGTCCAGCTTGTATTACTGTATGTTAGGATACGCTATTAATATTAACATATTAGCAAGAATCATGCCGCGGCTCTTACACGGCCGGACAACATCCTGATATCACCAGTGGGGGGAAGGCAAATTCCCCCTGCACCCTTTAAATGACACCACTGGTTGGTTTAATTATTAATATGTAAAAAACATTAATAGCTGTTGAAGATGTAGAAATTATTCTCTAAAAGCTTTTTAATGTTTAAGAATGGTTTATAATGTATCAGTTGTTGCCTTGTATGAAATCAGATGATCGTTACAAATTACAATACTTTATGTATAATATATATAATATTATTAAAACGTGATAAAACAGACATTAATTTATGTACAAAAATAGTAGACATTTTACCAAAATTATTAAAAAAATAAAATAAAGAGGAACCACGCTTCCTATTTAATTTCTAAATTTCTTACACTAAAAATTTAACATTAAATACTGACTTTGACATTGATATTTATCGTAGTTCGTTAACTATTACCATTGTTTAGCTCTTTTTGCACGAAATTATAAGTAAACTCAAATTATAAATTGAGTAAAAGAACATTTAATTATATTTTTCAACGACTTATAATTCGTATTGGAAAATTAATATTGTCATGTCAAAAATGTTCCGATTTTTAATTTTGTGTAAATACACAGAAGTTCATTTTCCTAGACCAGTTGTACAAAAATAAATAAAGCGTAATGGTCCTATCTTAGATCTCAATATTTTGTATCTACTGGTTATCAAGACTTGGTGGTTTGGTCAAAATCATACATGATGTTTAGACAATCTAATGGTGTTTCAATAATTTACATGTGTAATGGTCTAATACATTTTTTTCAAATTATGTTTATATATTGATAAAACTTATTTTAGTTAAATTAGTAACTTTCGAGAGAAATAAAATATATTTTAACTTGCAATATATTAAAATGTACAACGGAAATATCCAAAAATATTTATCACTATTAGTTAAAGGTGTAAAGTAAAATCTTGGGTGTAAAAAGTCGTAACAAGGGGTTGTTTAATGAATAGTTATCAGTTATTACTCAACGCCCAACGGTAAAACATCATCTTAGAAAATATATATTTATTTTTCCCGGACAATTGACGAGAGATGTATTCGGTGTTTATAGTTTGTTTTATAAAAAATTATTTAACGTTTTACTACATAGAAAGGGTGATAATGAACTTAAAACGCTACAAAATGTTGCGGCAACAGTGAATTATACTCACCGTAGGAAGATGTAGTAGTAGCGTGTGTTATCTAATATTATTATTATTGTGACGATCTGGTTACTATTATTAAGACTGTAATAATATTGCATTCAACATATACACGCATAATTATGCGTGTATATTTAGATAGAGTACCGTGGAGTATTGTTTAGATATTAATATATTTCAAATACTCTCAAGGTCAATATTATTCACTGTCTGATCACTGATGCTGTTTTACTGTGCATCGCAATACAAAAAGAAAATTTAGCATTTCAATTATAGTCGCTAGCGAGTGTGGGAGCGACCATTATTTGGACCGCTTAGATTACAATTAATTGTAATTATTTGTTGTTTTATTCAATCGTCGTTTATCGAAATATGTTTGTGTTGTTTGTAAGGTTACATAGAATTCTTATTAGAAACAGTATTCGCCTAACATATACGAGTAACCCTTCCACTGATGGATGGACGGACAGCGTTTACTATAAGTAACGAACCTCTACTTCTTAGGCGGGTAGCTAATATTAGGCCTTTTAGTAATCAAAACTAATTTGTATAGCTATATAATTTACAATACTGGAAGCAAATGTCACAATTTAAATTGGGAATCATATATTTTTAAACGAATCGGTAGCCATTCGGGACATTTCGGAAGCAGATTTATATTATAATTAAAAAATTACTTCATTGAGTAGCTTAAAATGTTAATCCAGTTTTTCTCATCCTAAACAGTCTTTACTAGTAGCCTAACAAGCTTAAAAACACTTTCAAACTGATTTTTAACTAATTAAAGTCCTACCCAGGTTGTATGAGAAAATATTATGGTTTATTGACGAGAGAAATAAAGTCGCACATTGGTAGATTTACTTGCGACGGAGAAACAAACATGATAACTCGGTCAAGTTATTTACAAATCGCCAGCGCGACAAAATGGTCGGTCGTATGGTATTTTGTTGTTGTTTTCGAATTGGCTTTGTTTCAATCTTCATGTGAACTTAGTCGGTAATTTGATAAAGTAGAATCGCGTTAATCTGTCCCAAATCAATAGCACGTGCCGCAAAAAACGCGTTTGGGCGCACGGCAATGTAATGTATTCAATAGTCATGGATACATGCAATTAGACGGTACCTGTTGGATTTTTACATACACTTATAAAATGGTCACACAGAACTAGAAATCTTCTTTGTTGAATCAAACGGACGTTGCAATAATATTATTTTAACAGCCTGCGGTCAGGTTAGGTAGATGTTTCAATAATATTAACAATAATAAAAAGAACGGTTTTAAACCGTGCGTTGTGTTTGTCGAATTAATTATTTACAATAAATAATATACATTTTATTGAATCAACCAATCTATATAAAAAGCTTATTGTGTAAGTCTATGCCGTAGCATACGGTTTCTAAACGACCGCGGTTGTAGGTACCTTTACAAGTGGGTCTATTCGCAATCATTTTTTACAAGGCGCGAAGTTCGTATTTAAATTTTCCTGTGCACACCAAGTGCGTGTGTGTATGGTTTTTTAAAAATATAATATAATTTTTTGTACTTGCTTTGCCTGTTAACCAGTCGGCTTAACGCGTGTAGGTGTAGGCGCAGCATAAGAGACTAGCCAACGCCGTGACCTTCCGTACGATTGCGGCCGGATTGCATTATATATATGGGCAACGTGGGCGCCAAGCCGGTCGGTACTCCTCCCGTTTTTTCTGAGCCGGGAACCACTTCAGGAAATGCCTTTGGCGCGTCCAGTGGTTCTCAAGACGTCGCTTACAACGTTTTATATGGATTTCTTATGTATGTATATATAAAACGATGTTTGCGAACATATATTATTATATTCGCATACATCGCTATTCGTTGGCCTCGAATGCTGTGTATATACTTGATACATTGTACTTTGACATGTCGCGTGTATTTTAGGTAGAATCGACGACCGGTGATTGATCTTCGTCCAATCGGTTGGGTTTTCTTACAATAATTATAATAGGCGTTTATACGGTACGTTGAATGTCGTTGATCAGCAAGTGGTTTGATTAAGGATTCTCATTTGGATACTAGACTTATCCACATTAATAAATTGATATGTAATATAAATGATGTAAATAAAATAATCATAATTTTTTTAATGTTTTGCGCATACAAATATGACATTTCACAAAACGACTTTACACTGCTAAATGTTTTCATAGATATGCTTTGTGCTTACAACCCAAGTTTGTTTTTACTTTTCTTATCAAACGAGTCGTTACTTAGTTAAACGTTTAATGTGATTTAGTAATGTGGTTACTAAAAACTTTATTTTTATTACATTTTATTCGTAACATTAATCACCCAATGATTAACCAATGACTTCAGGTTTTGTTTTTATGTACCAAGAAATATTAAAATATAAGCACGGTTTTCAAGGGTAGGTTTAAAACGTAAAACCATTTACATAAAAGATAAAAGGTGTTTTTTTATAAGTATTTATTTTTATTGCAATATTAAATGAAAAATATATTAGGTATATTAAAATAACCGGTTTATCATTATATTTCCTCTTTTAACATAATAATATTGTTATGATGGTACATTTTATATTGTATGTATTGCATGTATTGTATATTGTTATGGATATATTATTATTATTCATTCGTGAAAAATACTAATGCCAATGAAACGTTTTGAGATTAAAAATATGCGGTCGAAAACGATTTAATGGATTTTGTACCGGTTATATTACTTTTCTCGCCTGGATGTTACTGTACCGTGTTTGACGAGTTGTATGGTTTTTATAATAATAATATTTTTTTTTACGATTTACGCAGATGGCTGATTTCTTGAAAGACGCCGATGGGTCGGACATGCAAAACGTGAACTCGGTCATTGAGAATTTTCAGAAAAAGAACACTGCCGGGTCCATGGGATTGGCAACCACCGCCTCCGCAGCCACCGCGGTCTCCACCACCACTACAGGCTCCGATGCAGCCGTCGGTCACCAGATGGTAATGTTGCATAATAATCATATTATTATAATCATTATTACCGTTTGCGGTTTGAATGTTTAGATTTTAATACGTTTATGTGTTGTGTACATGTTTAATGTCGTTTGTTGGGCTTGGCGTCAGGTTCGCATAATACATTAACTTACAATCATATTACATACCTACATTTTAAAAACGCGTCGATAACAATACTAACATTTACCACACGGACAATGCTGTGTGCAAACATTTGTAACAGAACAAACCAATCTGAAAACTCGTTAAAAGAAAAAAATATTGATTACAATATATCATGTATCTTAGCACTGTTAGGCTTTCCTTAGTTTTCTTCAAACAAAATAAAAACGACTTGAAGAAAGTAAAAAAAAAAATCTAAAATATGCAATGATAGCTGATGTAATATAAACGATGTATGTGATGTCGACAACGTAGTATAAACTAAGGCGACAGATCACTTAGAATCATCAATTCGTAGAAATGTTAATTGTTATGTCGGGTAGTAATATACTATACAAAATAAGGTTTTTGTATTAGGTCTTTATTTCAGTTCAAGTAGTATAATTGGTTCGATATGTATATATTTTGTGCGAGTGACACAATTTGCTCGAGTTGTACTTTTAAACAAAATGTGCACGATTAACCTCCGTTTCACAATAATGAAATAATTGAACCCGGTAACCTCTTTATTGTGGTTGATTTGCTTATAATAAATTGTAATTATTAAATGTAAATAATTTGATTTAAGCGTATTATTATATACGAGTAAGCACGCGTTACAGGATCTAACTGCTGATTTTTTAGTTTGGAGATTAATATTTTTTTCATTATTGGCGTGATCGAAGCTAAAGGCTGAGTAGGTTAAGCATTAGCACAGTAAAAATATATAGGCTAGGCAGTAGGTAGGCTGGCCGCTGGTAGTTGAACAACGATCGACATTTGACATAATTGTTATACGATTGTATCTTATCGGGACTAGAACTATAGGGCTGATAGGCTAGGCTTCAAGTAACAAGAGCTTTGTGGGAAACGTTTATATTAACCTTGAATATTATACTAGAAATTACGGATACGTTTCTTTTTCATGTTAACACAAATATTTTGTTACTGAATGTTGAACTTCTGCCGGTGTGTATAAACGTCTGAAGTTGGGGAAAAAACAAGAAATCGCTAATAAATCGTTAAAAAAAAACTGTCATTGATATTTTGAAATGTTAAAACATCCCGAATAAAAACAAAAACATTTGTTTCTTGTTAGTTTCCGTTTTAGTCGAATGAAACTAATCACTGATTTCCTCTACCTAGTCTGTATTTTACGCTACAACACAACGCAACAGTATATTAATAATATTGTACTTGTCAAAATATAAATCCAAGGACTCCGAGGAGAGTGTACCAAAAACTGTGGACATTAGTGTTTAGTGGTCAATAGAACAATTCATCCTGCAGGCATGTATAAGAGCTATTAAAACATATAATCAATATAATTGACATTAATTTCCACAACGGATTTAGGTAGGCTCACCAGAGTTTTTATTCCTATAATATATTATTCTCGATATCAAGGCTATATACATATTAAAGCCGTAGTCCGATTGTTGCCGAACGGCTGTGTAACGCAATAACTACGTAAAAACGTGCTTTAGGCCTACACCATTATCCTCGATTTTTTTCTGTTCGACTTCTATAACGGCACATGGTTTATACTTGAAATATTATTAAAATGAAGGTAAATAATGATTCGTCAACAAGAGGCTATGACGTATGCGATAATATTTTTCCTGGCCGTTGCTCAAATACTAATCTATTGTTCTATGAAAATTACCTTTTTTGGTTGGAATATAAAATTCGTTGAAAATAACAATATAATCATAATTATATTTCCTAACACATTGGTAAAGAATTTATTCGAATTAGTCAAAATTGGCGACCACTTTTTAACAAGAACTCTTTATAAAGTCATAGTTTATGCGATTATCTGGGCCGTCATTACCGAAGGTGCGAAAAACATACTTAAAACTGCAACAATTACAGATTAATAAACAAATTGGGATATTTTAAAATATTTAGGTAAAAAAAAACGAAAAACCGAGTACCTATAGGCTTATTTACTATCATAAAATGGGGTGACACAAATATTTATCTTTTACAATTTTGTAATTCATTACAGAAAAATAATATGTATCGAAAATACTCACTCTCTTTAGTTAAACATAATAAGTAGTTGTTTACCATTATGATATTATATATTTTAGTTTGTCATAAAGGACTTAAATAGTTCTATATTATTTGTTTAATGGAATTTTTAGATATTTTCTGCGTTTACTTGCACATATTTGCACAAGGTCATAAAAAAATATTAACTTACCTGTTTAGGATTAGGATCTAATCACAACGCATATTTGATACCTGTTTAATAATTATTAACAATTTATAAACGACTTGCACAAAATTAGTCACAAAATACATCTAGTTTATATTTTAAATCCATCTATAATTTGTTAAGCCATTTTTATACGTTTGTTGATTTAAGAAAAAAATTACTCTGTTAATTGATTATTTAGAAAATGATTGTAAATATAATTGATAATATAATTGAGAACGATAAGAGAACTGCTAGTGTATGCGAGAATGATGTGGGATGTTGTGTCAAGTGGAAGTTTAGAATAAAGGTGGTGGATCTACAATAGTTGGGATGAAGGCAAAGGAGAATAATAGTGTAAATATAATGTAGATTGTTGGGTATGATTGGATTGATGGGTAGATTGTTTTTTTAAATGTTGAGGTTTCAGGCTTTTAGCATGCTGGTTATTAAATAAATAAAATAACAAATTTAATTGTTACTCATAAAAAATGTGCAAACTTCTGTTCGACGTTATCAATTTAGATGTGTTTTAAGTTTTTAATAATCAAAATCGAAGAATGTATAAATGTTGTAGAATTTGTGGGTCGGAATAATGACATACCTAACTAATTGGTTTTAGTTTTACTAATATATTTAGTTAGAAAAATATATGATTTCCTAATCGATCTATAACAACTGATCAACAATCTATTAAAATCGTTAACAATAACTTTAGTAGCTGCTTATTAATTAATCATTACGTCTAACACAATATTTTGTTTGGATTTTCAACGATCGTGATTGATGTTTTCATCAACATTATTTGATTTTATGTTCTCAAGGCGTCCAACGCGTCTTCAAACAGTTCGCGCATAGCCACTTCGTCTACTTCGTCGTCCTCGCAGCGCGTTCACCGGCAGATTTCCGAAATGACCACCACGTCGTCGTCTTCAGAGCTCCAAAAGTCTTCGTCAGCCACTTCTTCTGTGCTCGGTTTTGGTGGCGGTAGTATAGACGAGGCAGACCACAACAGCACTTGCGGTAGCGTTGCCGGTGACCCGCTGGTCACGTTCCCCGAATCGCCGCCCGTGTTGGTGTCGAACGCCGCTCCTTCTCTGACCCGGCCCTTGCCGTTGAAAATCACTACGACCGACGGTCAAAAGTACTCGACCGAAAGGCGAGTGTCCTCTTCGAAAACCGTCAAAGAGGCTTACGAGTCGAGTAGCAGCAGCAGTAGCAGTAGCTCTAGCAGTAGTAACGCCATAGTCGAGTCGCAGGACGCTTTGCATTCGACCGGGTTCCAAGAGAAGTTGGCAGCCAACGCGTTGGGAACCAGGTTCAGTATGGACGACAAGAGTACCGAGATGAAACTCAACAAAATCCAGGTGAGATGACCTTTAATATCTATTGATAAAATCAACAACATTAGTATTGCGTACGATCGCGGCGATTAATGCGGTAACGTCACATACAAATTAATAATTATTTTTAGGTACAAACTGTGTGAGTCACGCGAGCGGTCCATACGTTTCTACCGATAGCGCCAACCGTAAAATATATGTTTAATATTGTAATTCTTATTACCCATTCTTTAAAGTAGTTAAATTTGTTAACATCGTCTACGCAAACGCAGAATCTGTATGTCATGACAAAAAGGTTAAAATAGTCGCTCCTTTCCATCATTCTCTCTATCGCCCCTATAGACTTCAGTGGCAGGATAATGTATACGGTAAAAACGTTACTCGTTAGTCGATTACAGAGGTGAACAGAAGTTTAATGTTAAACTGGTTTTTAAATTTGTCGCGCTTTGTCGTCTCCGGTGGCGACTTTTATACACGTATTCGGTTTAAAATGCTTGAAATTGTTTATTAATTTACTGGTCGAATAACTAGAAGTATTTTGTATCAAAATATTATTGTTAGTTAGTAATATTGTGTATGAACTGTTACTTATTTTATGCAAAGTAATACCTTACTAGTGAAACGTCAGGCGATATATCTAGACAGCGGGTTATCACTGAATATAATTCCAATTTCCAATAGATCGTCCTTTTTTAATTGTTTGATAGAATACTATTTGACGGAGATTAATAGAGTTTAACTTTTAAGAATGATAATCACATATTTTCTACACAAAACAAACTACTATGGGCTAGTCAATAATTTAGACTACTAATGGTGTAGTACACAAGTAGTTCTTATTCTGACTCTGTTACTTTATAGGTTTTATACATAGGTTTTAGGTTTTTTAATTTATTTTTGACACGATTATTTGGTTGATGGGACGCAACATCTGTAGAAGATCTATAGAAGAGATCCACATTGAGTGGCTCGTATTGAACTGATTGAACAAATAACCATGCATAATAAATAATAATACTACAGTAACTACATATAATGAAAAAACATGCGTTTAACCATCGCGAAACGCCGAACGGATAAGTTTTTTGTTTGGGGTTAATCGAAGTCAATATAATATTACCATGTTGGGCACACACAATATTATATATTTTTGATGACCGCCCACCGTCTGACCAATTGAGTGTTTTGTTCTTAAACAAGTGTATTCAGCTTACAAGACAACTAGAAAACATACAAAAACCGCGTTGAGTCATCGAGACGTAAAAATTTGAATATTCAGTGGATTTTATCGTTAGATGCACGTCATACAGCCTAATCTATTCGTTGGCGAGGACACGGTAATCACAGAAAAACAAAAACCGATAGTTTATTTGATTGATATTAGCATATTTACACACGACCATTTGATAACATGCGTTTATATAAATCTGAATATTTTACCAACTATTGATCAGCAGGTCGGTGGAAATTATCACATAAGTTGGGTCGTGTGAAAACAACGTTCCTTCGTTCGTTTAGAGATTAAAACTTGTAAGGCGCTTGATTACTATTTCAACAAAGTATAAAATCCGTTAAGATTTTAGAGCATGAATTGAACTAGTTAAACTACCATTAGGTACGTCCGGTTTTATACGATTGTAAACGAGACTTGTCGAACTAGATGCGTTGGACGTAGGTACTACAATGTATACCGTCTATGTCGTACAAATAAAATTATAAAAGCCGGATGTTTTGGGTGAATGTCGAGAACACATTGATTCAAGGTTATTGTGTGAGAACTGACCATATTGGTAGTAATATATTTTAATGCATAATTTTGTAACATATTTATCATATTATAAACAATAAGCACAAAACGCACTCCCAAAGGACAATTTGCACTGCTGACTGCGCCTTAGCTTGCTGAAAAACCTTTCGATTTTGAAACGACATAGAGATATTAATCGACATAGTCCACCCGCAGACAACGCTTATAAAAAAATAAAAACAATATTTATATATTTATGACAAAAATCAGAGAGTACTAAAGGCCATTCGACCTGTATAGAACTCAAATAATCGATTGAAAAATTAGATCTTTGTCGCTAAGCATTATTGTGAGAATAATTAAAGAAGCGGTTGTAGGACTCGAGTTCAGTTCTTTACCGTGTTGAGTCTATATATATATATATCAAATAAAATTTAAAAACATTTGGGTACTGTATTAAATGGGTGACGACACGTTTGTGTTGATTGTCTCGATGAGTCAATTAACCAACTGTCTTTGCAGTTTTTCCAAACCTAGGTCAGTATTTCGTTTAGTTTGTCTTTTTAAGAAGGCTATAGTCGTCACCGTGTCATTCTTAAAGCCGGCACGTGTCGGGCTAAGGAAATTGTTGTTCCGGGTAGTATAATATTGATTAAGATTGGATGACATAACGACACGGTAGCAAACTCAGCAGAAAATCAGAAAGAATAATAATAATAAAATCGTACACTGACAACCGCTGTGGTACAAGCTATCGGATAACTAGCATTGCAAAATTCAAACACGTTTTTGTTGTTTTCGTTAGCGCTAACGATAAAAAAAACATATTGCCCGGCAGTTTTCTCAAAATGTTTTTTTCGCTAGTGTCATCAAAAATGACTTCCATGATCAACTAGCAGACACTTACAATAACACTGTATTTTTGTTGACTTCCCGGTCTTATAGCAATCATTAATCAATTGCTTATTTTCACCGCACGAGGTGGTTAATTCACCAAATTTATACTATTTTGGCTATGAATTTAAGACATAATATCTCCGGAACATAATCTGTTTCGGTATAATCTAACCTAAATTAAAAATATCAAATGGTATTTTATATACTGTCTTACAAACTCTTTTCAAAAAACCGTACCATCGTATCTTCTCTAGATTACCGAGCTATTACTACGTTTGATTATGCAATAATTTCAAAGGAAACATGTTTATGGGGAGTCCTATCAGTAATGTTGCATGACCTAACCCAACCATTACAATAATTTTCCTATAAAAGTCAATAACAGAGAACCTAGGAATAAGCGATTAATATTTAGACTAATTGTTAGGAGAGCCATATCGCTACTTTTACATAATAATAAACTAAATTTAAAGAGAAGAGTTTATTGTCCAAGGCCATAAATATTTCCTTATGGGTTCGCCATCGCCGTTCCACGAGTCACAATTATGGTTGTTGCACGCTAAGGGCACGGCGGCGGTGCACTTGAACGATAATGTTCTATTCTATCCGACCGTAATAGTTTTGGGATACAATAGGAAAACATATCATTATTATTAAAATGTACACATGTTTTTTCTCTATGATGGTACCGACCACTAAAGTTTCATCGTTAAAAACACTGCGTGTACATTTAACCTAACCTTTGGGTTAAAATCTTCGACTGCTTAACGGATGTAAATCAGTGCAGATAATATTATCTGTGTATGGAAATGTCATTATACAATAGACGGTGATTTAATGAAGTTTCGTTTCGTGTTAAAGTTCTACGGATATTGTTGCCGCCGAAGAAAACAAAATATACAAAGTACACGATACTGTTAACGTTCTTTTAGAGACGCATGGCCTCGGGATTCGAATGCCTGAGAGAAAAAGAGAAAAGAAAAAATTAAAATGTCATTCCCGACCGTTTAAAAAAATTATTGCTATTAAACGCCACACCACGTAGCGAACGTGTCGTTGACACCAAAAAAGCTTCCAGTAAATCGAGCTTTTATTGTACACCGTTCTGAGTTAGACAAGCAATTTCGTCTGGTATTCGAGAAATTAATCGCAATGGAAGGAAAATAGCGGAAAAGCCATCACGATAATGGACATGGGTTTTTTTTTATTGTCGGTGGCGCCCGAGTCAAGCAACTAAACGTACACTACCGCCGCTTCAATTTCGTCGTTTCTCCGATACGGCGTATATACTTACGGTCACGCACAGTGTTGTTTGTCCCTGTCGTTGTTATAGTCACGCTGTAAAAATATACCTGAACCTTAAACTATTCGGGGCGTGGAAAAAAATCGAGCTTTCAGTTCGATCATTACAATCCAGTGTTTCCGTTGCTGATAAACATTTTTTTCTTCGATTTTGGTTCTGGAGTCTAGAAATGCTAACCGTGTCGGTGGTCGCATAAGAATATACCGAATAGATCCTTAAAAAATGCGAGTGGGCGTTTTGCGCATCGCTGGCAGTAGCGCCAAGACTGCGGAAACAATGCCAAAGGGTTCGTCGTTCAACAAAACCAAGGTAACTGTAAAATAATATTATCCATGCGAGATTGCGTAAGTGATAGCAAAAAGACGAGCGAGAAGTGTCCCAGCCGTCTACTAAAAATAATAACTGCGGATAGTTTAAAATGACATAAGACGAGAAGGAGAGAGAGTGATCGAGACATAGGTCAGAGGGAGAGAGAGTGAGATCTAACTAGAATAAAAAAAAACGTTTATTTTTTTGGCCAGACAGCCAAATTTATTTCGGTGTTGTGCTGACTTGCGATCCGCCACACTTTTAGATTTGACTACTCCTACGCTGTTTTTTCGCCAATACTCCGAGAAAATAACGTTTGTCTTATTGAAATAATGTCTTAGCGACCAGTAGCTTTTGTGGTTCGGTTCACGGTCAATACAAGTTGAACCATCAATAATATGATTTAATATTTTGATGACAGTTCCGCATCCATTTTTTTATTATTACACAAACAAATGCCAAGTATAATATTATTATAATATACAAATAGGCGCTGGCCTTGAACTATTAAATAATGAAAAAATCACGTACGCGCTTAAAACGCGTCCAAATTGAATGCAAAACAAAAAAAATATTACGCCGACCGGACATTGAGAACTGTACAAAAAAAAACAATTAAACTTTATTAGCTACTATAATTGACAACGTCAAAAATAATTGGCAAAAAACCAAATAGCTAAAAGACTAATCATATGCAACGATGACTATTGATGAATGCATGTGTTACAAGGATTGACAAATTAATTTATAGAAATAATATTATTACTATTTAATGCAAGAATGTGTTCCGTTTTCAGTGAGTTAAAAAAAACAAATACAACAAAATATATAACTACTGATTTTCGAATATAGTGAAATTTTAACTGTACATTAAGTGGTACCTGGTTGTATAGGATTTTTATGTAATTCTTTTATTTTAACTTTATTTTTTAGAATATCAATGATATATTACTCACTTTTAAATAAAGGATGTTGAAATTTCCGTAAAAAGTTACGGACTAGTTTGGCAATTGCTTCACTAAAGGTTTAAATTATCTAAATTAATTATAGTGGGTGGTGACATGAATTTGAAATCGCAATTCTGTAGAGTTTTTATTAATGATGTTGTGTTGTAGTACAATACCCATGATCATGACGGGGAGGGCCGAGGGGTACAAACAACGAAAAAAGTGTCTGAACACAAATAATAGTCATTCGATCGTAACGTCACTTAAATTTGCACACGTCACACATGCTTGCAATGATGTTTGGGTAGCAATGTATGCCATAATAAGCTACTCTAAAAGGTATTGTCATTTCGATCCGTTGGGTAATCAAATCGAATCGTCCGTAAATAAATCAACTGTTTTCCTTTTTGCATTTTCTACTTATTATAATATGTTCATCAGTTGTTATTATTTTTCTGTCTGCATTCTGTGGGAGTCTAAGCGTTCCCACACACACAAACACACATACACACACAGAAAGTGACAGTGTGTAGAATATTCGCGATTGTCTAAGTTTAGTTTTAGAGCGCTTCCTACAACTATCCACGTTTGTTTACGCCGCCATGGTTTCAGTACACGCGTGTTAGATTAAACATTGTAGACGTGCGTTCATTCTATTTGATAAACGAGTAATATTTTTTTTAGGAGAAAAGAACTTTGAAAACTGGAGAGCACATTCATCAAGATAAAAATCAAAATATTAGTGCGGCCACAATGAAAGTTCAGACTGACTCGTTCAGTTCAGAAAAGGTACGCCATTTTCATTGTGACAATTATATTATAATGATACTGTTGAGAATTTAAGCAATTAAATAAAATAATTTCACCTAATTGATATGATAACAAAATGTAAAAAAGGTTACTAGATTGACAATAATATTAATGAAAATTATGCAATACCTTGTATATTATACATTTATCTGTAATAGATGACATAAACAACGTGTATATTTCGGTAACTATGAGATTTATCTACAATAACTCAAGTTGTATAACAAAACGAAATTTGATAAAAAATTATAACTATTTTGAAGTTACCCTATAATAACTTTTAGTTGCAAGCAAATCATATGTATTAGAACCAAGCTGCATATAATTAGTTAATAAATATCAATTTTGACAAATTTAATAAAATTAATACCAAAATTAAGGCGTAAATATTTGTACTTATATAGAATATCAAACATTTTAAAAAGTGGTTATTTTAAATGTTTTCTTAATTAAAACTTTATCATTTTATAAAGTACCTATTTACTTATATTTTAAAATATAATAATACATTTTTGCTTAATAATACAATATCTTTTGCAATTAATTTTAGAGGCAATTCTATAATATATATATATGTGAGCTAATTACTAATAAATAAGTACAAGAATCATTAGTAAAATAAATATTTTACTGCATGTAGCATTGTTTGTTTTAACTATATTTTTTATTTTCACTTATTGTTAGTGTTAAAAAATACAACATGTGGGTAGTATATATGTTTAAGAAGTTGTGCCTAACACTGGTAACACATACAGACACGCTAAACGTTGTAAAAATCTAATAAACAAATAAATGTTATAAATATAAATCCATGTTTATCGAGTGTTCTATACAATTTCACGTATCTGGCTTTCCAGTCTCTAAGATTTAATTTTCAAACAGCGTTAAATAATTAATTTACACGCATTAGTAGAATTGACGGGATTTTTAAAGAATTATACTTATTTAAAGATTATTAATATTAGGACTAACATTTTATTTTTGCCAAAAACTATTTTTTAACTGCCAGTAAACGTCATATTTTACTATTTTTGCCAAAGTATTGTTCTTATTACGTGTCCAGTTAAACGACGACAATATTTTATTAGCATAACTAAATAATGTATTTTATATAGTGATTAAATAAAATAAAATATGATACCATGTTATTAGAATCGTCTGATCATGGAAAAAATTATAATTGGACCAACTAAAATTATGGTTAATACAGGGTGATTTTTTTATCATGAGCCAGTCAATATCTCACTGAGTTTAAATAATTATTGAATTTTTTTTTTCACACTGTTATTATATAATGTGATCACAATTTTATCCAAATTATTATGTTCCTAACCCCCTCCGGAACTAGTTTTTTTGATAGCAACTTTCGAAACTTAAACGATAACGTATATATTTTTTAAACTTTTTAATTTAAGAATATTTCACTGAAAATGTTGACTGGTTGATAACCAGTTTTAGATAATTATTTTTAAAGTTATAAGAGTTTAAAAGTTATGACGGGAGGAGAAGTGCGGTTATGAAATGCGCACAGATAAAAATAATACTATATTGCTCCTTTCCTCCTGCCCTAAACTTGAAACTTCAATAACTTCAAAAATAATTATCCAAAACTGGTTATCGATCAGTCAAAATTGTTAGTACAATATTCTTAATTTAAAAAGTTTAAAAAATATATACGTTACCATTTAATTTTCAAACGTTGCTATCAAAAAAACTAGTTTGGGAGGGAGGTAGAAACGTAATAATTTGTGAAAAACTGAGATTACATTACATAAAAACACTATGAAAATAAATAGTTGTATAAATTATATAAACTCAGTGAAATATTGACTGACTCATGATAAATAAATCACCCTGTATAAGGTTAATATATACACAATAAATGTATTGCTGATATAACTAAATAAATAGTTGTTTTAACTAAACGTTTAGTTGGCCGAACTAAATGTTGTTTTAAATACATTTTTAGTTAATATAATTACTTATTTAGATATTCCAGCTACAAATTTGTTTTTATTAATATTATTATTATTATAATATATTATTACTAACCATAATTTTAGTTGTTCCAACTATGTATATTTTTCCGTGAGAAATTCTGTTTTTTTTTAAAGTTGCTTACTTTTAATTATGTAACTTTCAACAATTAAGTTAATGCATTAATTTTATCTTTTAGAAAGCTTCAAGCGCGCAACAGCAAAGACAAACAATCACATCATCTAACATGTTCAATCAGGAGAAACATATTGCTCAATCGTCTAAATCCAATTTTACCTTTACTAAAAAAGGGATGTGTACAAGCTCACAAGCTTTGATGTCGACTGCTTCATCTCAGGTAAATTGTCTCATAGTATAGCATTTAAATTTGATTGCTGGAGTAGTTGTACTAAATGAATAAATTGTTTTTACAAACCAACGAATTATTTTGAATACATAATATATTTTTATTTCAGCTGTCTCAAAAGTTGAATAATGGATCTGGATCTCCACCTTCCACTATAGTCTTCAGAAATGACGATGATTTACTCAATATTAATTTCGATGATCTCGATAAGTTGAGGGAAATGGCCAATCCTCAAGATGTGGATGTGGCCATATCCAAATATTCCACGTATTTAGAAACTGCTGTTAGAGAGCTGACTAGTGGAAAGTACGTGGACACAAAGGGCCCTTTAGTGTTGAACAAAATGTTTGATATAATATGCAAAGCGTGGGCTGTACCGACATATGGTCACGAACTTGGATATGCACTGTGCAACACTCTTCGAAATTGTGGAGGCATGGACATGCTATTGAATAATTGCGTATCAAAAGATCAAACTGTTCAGTTTTGCAGTGCCAGACTATTAGAACAATGTCTGACTACCGAAAATCGTTCTTATGTCGTAGATAATGGCTTGGAAAAGGTAGTACATGTCGTTTGTGCTTACAAAAGCCAAGTCAGTTCAGCAGATCAATCTAAAGTCAGCACAGGTATGATCGATTACATTTTAACCTAATAAATACAAATGATGTAAATTCAAAATAATTTTTTTTTAGGAATTCTCGAACATTTATTCAAACACAGTGAAGTTACATGTAGTGATGTCATTAGACTTGGTGGGCTTGATGTATTACTGTACGAATGCCGAAGACGAGATATTGAAACATTAAGACATTGTGCTGGTGCTCTGGCCAATTTATCACTTTATGGTGGAGCCGAGAATCAGGAGCTGATGATCAAACGGAATGTGCCAACATGGCTATTCACTTTAGCATTTAATAATGATGACAACATTAGGTATTATGCATTTTTAGCTATCGCTGTTCTTGTAGCTAACAAAGAAATTGAAGCAGCGGTTCTTAAATCTGAAACCTTGGACTTAATCGACCCTTTTATCACAACTCACACACCGTCAGAATTCGCCAGGTCCAATTTGGCTCATGCTCATGGTCAGAGTCATCATTGGTTGGAAAGACTGGTTCCGGTATTGAGTTCGATTCGAGAAGAAGCTTGTAATCTAGCAGCATTTCATTTTTGCATGGAAGCTGGTATCAAGAAACAACAAGGAAAAACACATTTATTCAGAGAAATCAATGCTATTGAGCCATTAAAAAAAGTAGCCAGTTGTCCTAATGCCATAGCATCTAAATTTGCGGCACAAGCACTAAGACTAGTCGGTGAGGAAGTCCCACATAAACTTAGTCAACAAGTGCCATTGTGGTCACCCGAAGATGTAAGTTTATGGGTAAAACAAATAGGTTTCAGTGAATGCGCAAGAAATTTTGTAGACAGTAGAGTAGATGGTGATTTATTATTACAACTAAACGAACATAATTTGAGAGACGATATAGGAATACAAAATGGAATCAGACGAAGAAGGTATAATACATTATTTCTATTAAAGTTATAAATCTTACACATTTGCATCGATTTTCACAGATTCATGAGAGAAATACAAAATTTAAAGCGATTAGCTGACTATAGTAGTAGAGATTCGACAAACTTAAACTCATTTCTACAAACTATTGGTCCAGAATTTTCAATTTACACTTACTCCATGCTCAATGCCGGTGTTGATAAAGAATCAATTAGGTTAGTATTTAAAAATGTTTGAATATAGCACAATTATTATATTTCCTATATTGTAATTTTAAGCAGCTAAATATTTGTTAATAAGAAAATCATTGTTTTATTGATGAAAAATTAATATAAACATTTATTATTTTAGGTTTTTATCGGAAGAACAGTTGGCGAATGAGTGTGGAATCTTAAACAGTATTCATCGATATAGGATATTAGATTCTATAAGAGGTAATTAATTTTATAAATAATGTTTTATAATTGAAAATAAATGTATATGGATACAAGACTTTTAACAGGTTTTGAAATTAGATACCTAACTAATATTCAAATATTACGTCATACGTTGCAACTTTAATTTTTCACATAATTTATTAATACTAAAATAAAATAAATATAAACTTAAAATTGTTGTCCTAGGAATCTAAATTTTAGAGTTACACTTTATTTCAAAATTTTAAATTTTGACTGAGGACCTAATTTATAATTAAATGTATAGATATCGAGACGATGATGGGTACGTCGTCGTTTGAAGAAAACATGAACAAACAACTTGATGTGTTCATTAGTTACCGTAGATCTACTGGATCTCAACTTGCGAGGTATTTTAAATAAGAGCCGTAAAATAAAAAAAAATTAACAGTCGACTAAATAATAACTCGTTTGAAATGTTTTTAGTTTGCTCAAAGTTCATCTACAGCTTCGAGGATTTACAGTGTTCATCGATGTCGAGAGACTAGAAGCTGGCAAATTTGACAACAATTTATTGCAGAGTATTAAACAAGCAAAAAATTTCCTACTCGTTTTGACGCCAAAAGCACTAGATAGGTGCATAGGTGACAGCGAGTGTAAAGACTGGGTTCATAAGGTATAATATCATATCGAATGTCAATTTACCAGATTGCTAGACGGGTAATGATTTTGGATATTTTTTCCTACAGGAAATTGTTGCTGCTTTGCAAGACCAGTGTAATATTATTCCTATTATAGACAATTTTTCGTGGCCCGAACCCGAGACGTTACCCGAAGACATGCGCAACGTCTGCAAGTTTAACGGCGTCCGGTGGATACACGATTACCAAGATGCGTGTGTGGAAAAGCTGGAGCGGTTCATGAGGGGCGAGCTTAATGCTCGAGACGGAGCCAGCATAGCACTTTCACTGCCACGGTCTGGCGGTGGCGCGTCAACAATCAAAAGCGAATCTTCGGCACCAAACACTCCGCTAATCATGGGCAGGTCACCGCCTACTTATCAGCGGACACAATCCAACGAGAGCGATAGAGACTTTGGCGGTAGTAAAGATTGACTAGCGTCGAACACTTCCAGGTTAGGATACACGGTGGACATAGATATGTTTACTGTCAACTCGTGCTGCGTGCTTGTGATTGTCTATGTATTGTTCATCTGCTTAATCGCACGGCCTCCATCGACACAGTTGGGTAGGTAGCTTTTGAAATTTACGTTTAATAAAAATCAAAAAATATAATGTGAGAGTGCAAGTATAGTAATACTACGTAACTTTGATTTTCTAAATAAATAAAACTGTTACGGTGTAAACGTCAAAGTTTCCCTTCGAAATTCATGCGAGATGCAAATTACATTAAAGTAAACTTTAGATCAAAAAGATAATTTCGCTTGTTTGAACTTTTTTTAAAACGAATGTTCTATTATAAATTAATGTTAATTGATATACTTTTAGAGTAATCATAAAAACGTATAAAATATGACTAACTAGCACGTGCCTATTTTTATTTCCTAATTATCAATATCGTAAGTCTTGTTTGCTAATATTAACAACACAATTTTGTAATGGCAAAAAATGTTTATCTTATAAAACGGGGGTTTCAGATTTGTAAATTTATAAATATTTAATCGCAGTAAAAAATAATATATTAGTCTACTTTGCAGAATGTATAATAGCTTGATTTTTCACATTAATGTTGCCATATGTACCTTTTATATTTATACGTTTTATATACTAAAATGGTTTTTTTTGTATACATAGAAATAGGAAGTGTTCGAAACTGTCCGGTTGGAGACCGCCTATGAGCCCGAAAAATGGTGCCAAAAATAAACGTGCCCGGAGTGTGGAAGGTCTATTAGAGACTACGGAACCAAGGAAAGAAATTCAAGATGATGTACAGATGAAAAAAGCTAGAAGTCTGGAAGGCTATCTAGATACTTTCGATGAAACTGAGGAGTGTAATAGTGTATCCATTTCGAATAATAGTAACACAAAAAAATCAAATTTTGTGGACAAGTGTTTTAACAAAATGAAATCTTTAATAGCTAATAAAAAGACTACGGACACCAAATAGGGTATTATGTTAATATATATTATATGATATGTATTAGAACGTGTATAGTAATTTCAATGTATTATATTTTTGTTTTTTTTACTTTTTTTTTAAGTTTGCTTTTAATTGTTAGAAGTTTTACACAAATAAGTTTTAAATATTTGTTACTGTAAATTGTAATTATTAAAGATACTTTTTTAATAATTTTAGTTATTTTTCACATGTTATTACATTATTGTGTAAAACTTTAAATTGAGTTAATGACTATTTTTTACAATGAATATAATTCTTACATATTATAACGTTTAATTGAAAACAATTAATAAATGACATCGTTATAAAAAGAAACTGAACATCTTGTTATATCATGTGTTTTTATTGTCAAAAAAGAGTTAGAAAAATAAAATTTAAATAAAATATGTTAGTGCAAGAATAATTATAACTTGGAAAGAGAATACGATGTGAGGCTACAATATATGGTACAGAAAAATTGTGGGTATGAGGAGGACGTGAAAGTTAAGATGGATGAGTGGAGTGACTAGGGAGGATAGAATAAGAAATGAATACATAAGGAGTCGAGGAGTTGCATCAATTGAGGAGAAAATGAGAGAGAACAGGTTAGGTGAGATGGTTCGGTCATGTAGGAGAAGCGATGAGACAGAAGCAGTGAGAGGTATTGTAAAGATGAATGTAGAGGGGAAAAGAGGAAGCCCGAAGAAAAGATGTGATATGATGATAGCTGGAGTGATTGAACGAGATGTAGAAGACCGAGCTCTATGGAGTATAGGACTAGGGTGGCCGACCTCATGTAGTTGGTAGTGTGAGACGAAGATAAAGAAGAAGAAGAATTATAACTCGGACATTTTTTATTATAAAACCATTCTAATTTTTCTGATCTTGTTAGTTTGACTGAAATTTACTAGATAGTTTATTTTAAATTAGAACAACAATAAAACCAATATCTTGCATTAAAAGAAAAATAAATAATAATGATAATATACTCAACTATCTTAAACACTTTGTTTAAACTTACAACCATATGTTCAATACATTATCAATGATCTATTATGTTTTAATGTAATTGATATCTATAAGCATTTTATTAAAATGAAGTATTCCGTAATTTTAAAAGTAGTTATTATTTGTCATCTATAGAGAGATAATTTTGCTGGATACTACTTACAAGGTACTATCCACTGCTATATTAAACAGGTTCGAAAAGTATGCCTCAGAGATAATTGGTGAACACCAATGTGGCTTTCGAAAAGGTAAATCGACCAGTGATCATATATTTACTACACGACAAATTATGGAAAAATATTATGAATATTACAAGGACTTATATATGATTTTTATCGATTTTAAGCAGGCTTATGATAGTATTAACAGGAATCAACAATGGATAGCACTTGAAGATTTTGGTTTCCCAAGCAAACTTGTAAGACTAATTAGAAATTGTAACTCGAACACTTTCTGTAGGGTGCGTTACCTAGGAGAGACGTCAACACAGTTTAAGGTTAGGGATGGATTAAGGCAAGGGGATGCGCTGTCTCGTACACTTTTTAACCTAGCCTTGGACAGAGTAATTAGAGAAACCCAAAATATTAGGGAAATGGAAATGCTTGGAGGGAATACTTTGTTGGCATACGCTGATGACATCGTTATCCTTGGAGAATCTAAAACTGAGTTAACAACAAGTACTCTTAATTTGTTGAAAAAAAGTGAAAAAATGGGACTCCGAGTTAATGATATTAAAATAAAATATATGATTGTTATGAGAAAGCCGACAGTTATGCAAAGTCTCAGGGTTGGACAATACTTATTTGAACAAGTTGAAGATTTAAAATATTTGGGGGTTAATATAAACCAAAGAAATTACATGCACAATGAAGTTAAGCTGAGACTTGGTTCGGCAAATAAAGGATATCACACAATGAGAAGCATGTTGTCATCAAAGTTACTATCAAGAGAAACTAAAACGAAGCTGTATATAGCCTACCTACGCCCTATTGCGATGTACGCTTGTGAGACCTGGTCGACAGCAAGAGGCGATGAACTAAAACTTCTAATATTCGAGAGGAAAATATTAAGGAAGATATATGAGACCCGTACTAAACCCGGAGTCAGGAAGTTATGGAAAAAGAAAAAATGAGGACATTGAAAGCATTTTCAATAAACCAAACATACAAGCATGTCTGAAAGCTAAAAGGCTAGAGTGGGCTGGCCATGTATGAAGGGCAAAGGATAAGCTAACTCATAAAGTACTAATCAATAAACCCAACGGAAAGAGACCAAGAGTAAGGCCCCGTCAGCGATGGTTCGATAGAGTAAACAAAGATCTGGAAAGCTTGGGAACGACAAAAATTGAGGATGCGGATAATCGGGAACTGTGGGGGGACGTGGTAAAAGTGGCAAAAGGCCTGCCTTCATGGTCTGTAAGCCAAAAAAAAAAAATTATTTGTCGTCTATATTTTGTTTGTTTTTATTGTTAATATTTACTTTAGTTTTCCTCCTCCAGTTAAAACGGTCATCCACAAGTCACAACATCTACATTTATTAATACACCATCATTTATCATCACCATAATAATTGGTCATCTACATCTATACGAGTATTTTGGTTCTACTAGTTACAAATCATATCTATTCGTATGTTCGTCATTTGCGTAGTTTACGTTACAGTCAAATTGTAGAAACAGTTATATAGAAAAAAAAAACAAGTGTTGTAACACATTTTTTTCGGTAGGGTTATGTTTGGTTATGTCTACTAAATAATTGTACCAACAGTGAATTTGTTTTATATTGTGCGCTAGACACTAGATTAATTTAACTTGATTTTTAATGCGACTATATTTTTGTGTCATTCATCAAAATGTTTAGAATATTAGACCGTTCACGCATTAATAATTTATAGTCAGTTCATTAATAGTTGATGGTTCAACTACAAGTTTTATGTGAGTAAAATGTAAAAAAGACTTAATAAGCCTGGACTGTTGTGAACCCTAAGACAGCTAGCGATCGGATCGAATTTAGAATATTCTGCCGGACGTTTAAACTACCGCAAACACATGTGCTCAGGAGTATTCAGCATTGTGTCTAAACATGTGTATTTGTGTGCGAGCATAAACGCAAAAAAACAATGTGATGTTCATTTGATATTTTATTCGTGGCTCAAAATTGCAAACATCGAACATTAAACAAGTGTTATTTGTTTGCAAATATAACTTAAGAACAACTTAAGTACAATCCCACGCTGTATTACTAATTTTCCATTTTAGAATTTTTATAGATTATAATAAAATATATATATATCTATCTATTATAAAGACGTATCATAATATTGTTTATTTTATGTTTAAGTTCGAAAACAAATATAAGTTTTGCTATTTAAGCGTTTTGGCTTATAAACAAATATACTTCATATTGTTCGGTGTATGTAGGCATATATTAGGTATATATGCTCATGAACAAATTATACACTTCATTGTTTTTTATTGCGCTTATGCTCTCGAATAAATTATATATTCGTTATATTGTTCTTTGTATTTTTATGCTCGTGAACGAAAGGAATATGTATAAAGGGGATCGCATGCGGTCTATTTTTAAGGAGTTTGGTATAGGCAACATTAAGAAAAAAGAGGTTTTAATAAATGTTGACCATGTCAATTAATTTACTGGTTAATTTGTTTAAGCTTTAAGGTATTATTTTTGAATTAAATAATTGTTTCTATGAGTAAAAGCCATTTTGGTTTATTTAAAGCCAAAAAGCCAGACAAAATGTCGACTACATAGGAAGGTCCAAATTTAATTCTGTAACGAGTTTCGAGTTCTTTGGCTTAATTACTATGTTATGTAGGAAGCCCTTTTTCATTTAAAAATTGTAGTTTCTTGTAATTAAATAATTAGGTTTGCAATTTGTTCAATTTTAAAATCCAATTTTTTTACATAAAAAAGCAAAAACTCAAAAATCTGTTTCTTACATAACTTAGTAAAGTTGCCAAAGTAGTCGAAATTTTTTCTGGATTTTTGGTAAAACGTTAAAAAACAGACCGCATGCAATCCCCTTATGTGAATTGGCTCGCGAACTTAATGGTTTGATGTAAAGGTAAATTTAGGGTAGAGGTATAAGAACAAGTTCTTAACCTGTATTACAACTAAGCAAATGTTTTTACGGCGTGGACAGAGTTGTATTGTAGTGTTTTTATTTTTCATGTCCACGCGCACTATTCGTCCGCACTTCTCTTCTTCTTATAACTTTTAATGCATAAAATAAAGAAGCAATAAAACATATTTGTCATACTTTAATACAATACAAAGTTTTATTTGAAACTGAATAATTTTTTTTAACAAGTTTAATTTGGAACATGTTTAATGTAAATAATTATTGTTTCATAAAAAAAAGTTGTGTCAATTAAAACATTGAAGACTGTATTCTTTAGTTAAATCGATTTAGAAATGTTGGAAAAAATTCACTTTTTCATATAAATTAAGGGGAACGGAAAGTGCTATATATTAAGGGGCAAAGGATAGGCAATATTTAACAAAAATTGATCCAATAGCCATTTTTCATATGCTTACTAATTTCAAGGTGAACACTTATTACAATTTTCTAATTAATTTACTTTTAAAGTTATTTTTCTCCGAGTTTTAACGAAAGTTTAATAAAAAATGACTTTCGTAGAAGTCATTTTCTGGCGTATCTATTGGACGGATTTCAAGTTTTTTAATTTTTATGCGAAGCTTACTATTTTTTCTACGGGGGTTAATAGACCGATTTTTGATTTAGCGATTAAAAAAGTAGTTAGATGTAATAGAAAAAACTATAAAAA